AGCATAATAAAATTCCAACATAAATATTCTTGTGCTTTGGAGCCATTATAGAGTTAAAAAAAAAAAGATTACTTGAATACAAACACTGGGATACTATAACAGTTGATCTGAGAATGTTAGACCACTACTAAAGCTACATATATGCAACTCACCAATGGGCAGGTAGTATATATAGTGTGAATACATCGGACAAAGGCATGATTCACATCCCTGGTAGATATGAGCAGGATGGCATAAGATTTCATCAGACTACACAACAATGTGTAACATAATATCTGTAAATTGTTACTCCTGGAATTTTCCATTTAATATTTTCATACTGTAGTTGATCACAGGTAGCTGAAACCACAGAAAGCAAAACTCTATGGAAGGGACTATTGTAATTGGTTGTGGACCATTGTTTGTTTAAAAAAAAATAACAGAAACATTCAACTAGAAAAACGGAACAAAAACCTAAAACATAAATGTTTTGTGAATGACAGTGCCTGGCATATGTACATGCTAAAAAATGTTTAATGAATGAAGACACCACTTCCAGAGAAGTTAGTCTACAGATGAACATGTTTTTATTGGAAACTGTGTTCTGCTCTGTGAATATACCTGATATATTACTTAATGTAACCAGGGGGCAACAGTCTCACATACAACAAAATTAAATATTTAATGAGACTCTGAGACATGCTATATTTCTTTCAGTTAGAGGTTAACATAATATGGCAATTTATAAGTATCAAGGGGTTAAATATTCTTGGATTATTTCACCTGCTATTTTGCCTTTTGTCTTAAACCCTAACTATGCTCAAATACAGGCAGGGAATGAATATGAAGGATGATGCCAAAGTCTAATAAATGCTTGAAGATAAACAGTAGATTCTAAATAATTTTCACTTTCTCCAAAGGACATCTACAAAGTCTTAATTTGCATTTACTTTTATGTAGAGAATTTTGAAGTGCAGTAACACATACATACAGTTTAAAAATATATATACTCTATGTAATTATATATTTAAATTGTATATTTCATAAGTACCTGCATTTCAGATAAAATGAGGAAAGTATTCTATCCTTTCTCATATAGACCAATTTCCCATTTAGTCTCACATCATCCATAATGTCAATGACTGCTCATAGAATAAAGAGTAGCTGAATCCTAATGCAATCTGCACTGATGACAGCAGAGGGCACTGTCAAACAAAATGACCATTTTTCGTTGTGCACTAGAATCTGTTAAATTAGGAATTAGTAATTTTCAAAGAACCTAGGATCTTGRTAAATTGTCTCATACACTGAAACTATTAATAAATCTCTGTGAGTATAAAGTGACATGTTTGAACTAACAAACTAAAACTTGAGTGATAAATTTTAAAAAGAAACTTTACATGTGTTAGCTAAATCTTTTTCATACTATTTCTATTAAACTACGAAACTATTTCTATGAAGCTAAAATAGAAAAAATAAAATATTTGTTATGGAATATTTATTTTATAAAACCATAAAAGTAAGCAATAAAGGAATTACCATATTTGAGGTTAACCCTAGTGGAAATGAGAGGATTGTGACTAAGGGGCAGGTGGAGGACTCCAAAAGTGTTGGCAACCCTCCAGTTCTTAACCTAAATCATGGTTACATAAGGTTCTTACTTTGTAACAAGTCATGAAACTCAACTTTTATGTTTTACATACACAAAACTAAAATATTAGAAGGCCTTATCAGACTAAATTAGTAGACAGAAGAACCATCAATAATATATCAAACCTAATGACAAAATATTACATACGTAGAAATACCTATTTAAAAACAGGGTTTCTAAATCAAGGGTCCATGGAAAACATTTTATGTGAAGTTTCCTAAGATAGAATTCCTAGCTTTCATTTCCCTAGCTTTCATTTTATTCTCAGAAAACTAGAAAATCAATGTAGAAACATCATCCAGGTATTTATTTAGGTCTAGCTATTTTAGAAACAAATGAGTTCCAAAACTATTCAAACAACATAAAAGAAAACACATACTAGAAGAGTTTCTTTAGGCGAGTCATCATCATGAATTTGTTACAAATCAAAATATGCTTAAACCCAAATATTCCTTCTAGAAAAATACAAATAAATAAAAGGACATTTGACTCTYGTTATATTTATTGATTTAAGTGATAAATTTTAAAGCAAAAATATGGTGATTGTGGAGTTAAATGAAAGCAAATGCATATCACCAATACATAAAGGACAGAAAAAGAGAACTACAAGTATATTGTAATGTTCTTATATCTTATGCAATTAATATAATATCATGTGAAGCTGAACTGTGACAAGTTTAAAATCCCAAAGTTCACACTGTTAAGAAATCATAAACAAATCTTCATATATGGCACATAGTCAATAGTAGAGGGAAAATAGAATGATAAAAATAATCTAGAATGTGGCAGGAAAAGAGTAAGAAGATAAAAACAGAAGGGACAAATAAAAAATAAGTTTTGATATAGTAGATTTAAACCCAATCATATCAATAACACTGTCTACAAATATAGAGTAAATACTCCATAATGTTACTCTACTGAACAATCCAAAGACTGTCATCACTCTGAAGAAAAAAAAAATAAAGGAAGACACCTAATGTATGTTGTGTCTTAGACTCTAGTTTAAACAATACAGATCAATTAAAATGAAAGAACAGGCACATGTTAATCACAAGAAAGMTGGGATAACAATATCTATATCAGATAAAATATATTCTTGATTAGATCATGGTCCAGTAAAAGGATATTAGAATACCAGGTGTGGTAATGCATGCCTGTAATCCCAGCTACTTAGGGAACTGAGTCAGAGGATCACAAGTTCAAGGCCAACCTCAGCAACTTAGTGAGACTCTGTCTCAAAAAATTAAAAGGACTGGAGATGTAACTCAGTGGTAAAGAGCCCCTGATTCAATCCCCAATGGAGTGAAAGGTATATAGGAATTACATGTATGATTTTTGCAAGTTTTTCACAAGACTAATTATTTTAAACAGAGAACCTAGAAACATCTTAAAAAATAAAATTCTCTGCTCTTCAAAATTTGCTACTAATAAAAAAGCAAACCACAGGCTAGGAGCAAATATTCACAATATTTATATATTAAAAATATATTGCAAAGTAAGCCAATCCCAAAAAACCAAAGGTCAAATGTTCTCTCTGGTAGGTAAATGCTGATCCATAATGAGGGGTGGGGGGCGCCAGTGGAAATAATGGAGGAACTTTGATTGGGCAAAGGGGAGGATGGGAAGGGGAGAGGGCATGGGGACAGGAAAGATGGTGGAATAAAATAGACATCATTATCCCTAGGTACATGTATAAATGCACATATGGTGAGACACTACATTGTGTACAACCAGAGAATGAAAAACTGTTCTCCTTTGTGTACAATGAATTGAAATGCATTCTGCTGTCATATATAACTAATTAGAACAAATTAGAAAAATATTTTATCTGACATATAATTTTATCAAGTATATATAAATAACTGCTATTATTCAACTTATAAAAGGGAGCAAAGATTTTGAAGACCAAAAAAGAAGACATATCAACTGACTAATAAACAGAAAGCAAGACGATCAACACCATCAAGTCGTTGGGGAAATTCAAATTCAAATTACAAAGAGGTGTCACAGCTGCTCTCATCCATTATGGGAAAGGGCATATGCAAACATATGGGGATAATAAAAATGTTCTACATCTCAATTGTGAAGATAGTTACATAGATGTACACATTCATCCAAATTTAACTTACATAATTAAAATCAATAATTTTTTAAATTTATACCACAATAAAGTTACTTTTAAAAATTGTTAAAATGTTATATAACAATATACTGAAATATCTATGGTACTACATGCCAGAGAAGAATTGTTTTTTCCTTAGTGTCTGAAAGCAAGTCAAAATTTGACTACAGATCTCCACTTATTGTGCACTTCTGTTAGCTAGGACAAGTGTACAATGAATAGAAAAACCCAAATGAAAGGACAATGAATTTAAAAGTATTGGCAGTTTTGTAAAAGAGATTAGTATAAGATAGTTTGAAGATTCTAAGAAATAACATTTGTGTACATTAATATGTACTTTARGTTAAAATTATGCTAAAATCTATATAATCATAATCTCATTTATACTTATCTATTTAAGGGAGATATTCCATTTTACAGATAAAGAAACAGACTTAAAAGGTGAAACAGTAACTTGCTCAAAGTCAGATAAAAGTTCCAAACTGAGAATGACCTAAATCTACTGGACTCAGATGCTCAGGCTCTTTATTATTGTACCATTTTATTTTACCATTTTATCCAATCACCCTTTTATATTCTACCCTTTACTCTTTACATAAAGAGGCCTAAGTGTGTGAGTCTGTAGAGATTATTGTACTAATGTTTCCTTACAGCTGTGCTTAAAGGTCTTGGGAATGGTGTTGAGAAAGCAGTTTCAAACAAATGTAAAGCATTAGATTTTATAAAAGGTCATTCCTAAGTAGTATAGCTATCCAATACTGAGAATAATTCTAGAGATTGAAGAGCTATCAATCCCAAAGAACTTTCTCTAACTTTATTCCCTAATCTTCCCCAAAGCCTTACAGTGCTGCTATAAATCACACAGATTAAAGACATATAATGGATCTCAGAAAACCTCTTTTTATTGGTAAGAGGATAGTTAGAACAGGTTTTTCCTCTATTTTCTTTTCCAGCTGTTTACTTTTCATGTGTAATGCTTTTGGATTTTAAGTTTTACATTTCTCTGACCTATCTTCGTAGAGGTTTTGCTAATATGAATTTCATTTAGTCAAAATCATTGTTTTAATTTTTTCAAGGCATAAAATAGTAATTAAACTAAAATAAAACTATCTACTATAATGACTGACAAAAAAGATAATATTTACTAATTTATTATCGTGTTTAAGAACATACTAAATATAGAAATGAAGGCAGAAAATAAATATGCTAATTATGTTTAAACAAGAAATAATGCAATGTTTATCCTACCTGAAATCACATGCTGTAGTAAATTCTGCTCCTCCACCCAATGCCCGACCTTGAATTAGTGCAACACTAATTAAAGGAAGTCTGTATATTGAAAAACAAATGGATGTTAATATTTCTATTTTTTAATATTTTTAAAAATCTTAAAATATAGTTGAAACAAAATTACTGCACTGTGTTTATAGCAAACACATCAAAGGACAGTAGAACCTTGAATCTATGCACCTTGAGAAAAAAACAACATAACACTAAAAACACAAAAATTCATGCTAAATATGATGTAAGTTTATCAAAATAGCTCCCTTATAATATACTTTTGAAAGGACAGCATATTATACCTTTATTCCAAATATGGATGCTTTTGTATAATTTAAAGCCCCTGGGACTTCTCAGAAGCTGGCATCTGTGAATAATTTAACGTAATATCATCTTAGTCCATTTTTACTAAAATTACTTAAGGGTAGGAAAATTAAGGCTGCAGCCATGGTGGAAACTGTGATCTAGAAGATAGGGGTCCAAAACTGTATACTGAAGGTTCCTCAAAAATCTTCTCATTAGTGTTTGAAATGATCCACAGATTAATCCTATGTGGAGACATTATTTTGTGTTATAAAATAAATCTTTTACCTTTTCTGTTTGTATGAATGTGTGACTACTACATGGTAAGTCTAAAATGTTTTAAAAGTATGGAATTTTTTTATAGGTTCTAAACAAAAAGTGAAACTGCAGATGTAAAATAACTGAGTGCTCCTTGATACATACTGCTCCCAAGTAGAAAAGACTGTCTAAAAAAGAATAACTTTTCACATGAATTTGAGAAAAAATCAGGCAAAATAGGGGAAAGAGATGAATTCAAGAGTTAAGATAATGAAAAAAAAGTACTTTAGAATAGTAATATTATAATTCAATCACTCTATCAGATATAATGAGTAACAAAATAGTGATGAATACCAATAAATAAGTATTCTTAAATATAAATTTCCTTAGTTTTTATAATTTTTAAATTGTCTATAATCAGAATGTGAAAGTAGAAAGTTAATTAGCCCAAATATGTCAGTTTGTATGTCCAAATTCATAAAAGAATTGTCCCCCCTTTTCTTCTTCATCTAGATGCAAAGTAAATCCATCTCTCAGAAAGCTGTAGTCTTCTCCAATCCTTAATTCTTTTTCTCTCCTCTGGATTCACTCCACTCCATATTCTACTAACTTAAATATGTGATAATCTTTATCTGTTTTTAATAGATCACTGTCTATATTTTGCTCTAATATCAGTATTTGACTCCTCCCATGTCTATTCCTTAATATACCTAGTGATATAAGCACCTTAGGGAAAGGGGCTAGGTCCAAATTCTTTTCTTCAGTACTCGTGTACATTTCATTAGCAACTAAATGTTCTCCACACACAAGGAAACAGTTCATCACTAGAATATACACAATTTGAAAATTAGTTATTATTTTTAAACTGGTATAAATAATGGAATAGTAAAGAAAGATTTTTGATCTTTTAAAAACCATAAATTTAAAAGAAAGATACATTACCTCATAAGTCTTGTTAAGGTGTTTTGCATGAACATGGATAAGGCCACTCCATCCTTTAAATAAAAATAAGCATAAAACAAAGGTATAACGCACATGTGTTACCTAAGAAATATTTTTAAAATTCAGCTTTTAGTAAACAATTTAGCTTTTAGTAAAGCTCTACACCATGAAGCTTATAGATGGACTCTGATTACTTCTTCTCTCTAAAGAGAACTCCTTACAGTTTATGCAACATCTGTGGCAATCAATTCCAAATCTTATAACTGGATTAAAATCTGCATTATTTGTTGCTATTTTATTCTTTTCTCCCTCCCCTAACTTTTCAGGGCTAATCCTTTCATTATGTTATTCCATTACTTGGTCTGTACATTTGATAGTAAGAATTTTAATTGCCTAACAGGGACAGTTGGAACTTTTCTCCTGTTCATTAAACAAAGGCTACCAAAATGAAACCAACTTTTTAAGGGATCAGTAACACTTGAAAGGAGAAAAAAAGTATAGTAAAGATATGCAAATACAATAAATGTTAATAGCTATTAATGATGCTATGGGTACATGAGGATTTCATTCTATTAGTCTCTTGTTTTTATTTGATAATTTTCATTAGTAGTAAACAAAATTCAAATATTCCAATCACCCCATCATTCTCAGAAAAGGCAAATTCACCAAATAAGCAGATGCTAATGATGCATCTATAACAACAAAGAGTCAGTATGTTGGATAAAGTGCCCCACTGAGAGAAAACAGTTTGCATTTAAGTCATGTTAAAAAGTCTCCAAGTAACTCAACTGTAAGAGTACAATGTATTTAACAGATAGCTGCAACTCATGTATATGCATGAGCCTCGTAAGCCCCAAAGCTATTTTAAATTTCAGTTTTACATGTATTTATAGCTATTTCTCAAGTACATAAGAATATAGTCTACATGTAAAATGGTTGTCAGAAACTTTACATATATCATTTCTAGTTCTTGTTAATTGTAGAATAAATGTGATAAAATACCCTTTATACATATATACTATGTTTCTTAATATTATTGTTATGCTATATATTTTTTATACTATGACTAGGGAAACTTCATAGAAGTACAACAAAGAATTCATTTRTACTGAAAAATGCTTTAAACGAAATAGGTCAATTATAATCTGGAATTTAAGCATACTCATTTTAAAGCAGATTTGCAATTCCTTATTTTCTTGAGGAAACTTGGAACATGCATATAGCAAGAAGCAATGGACACCTCTCGTTCTCAGCTATCAATCAACAAATTTATTGCAGACACTGATGATAGCATATTACTTGGAAAATGTCTATACTACAAAGAGCAAATTTACCTAAGTCTGGACAAAAATTCTCTCAATAAATGTTGTTACAACGTGACTCACATCATACCAATAATTTATAACCCTTCCCACCCCTCCTCACACACACAACACACACATACTTCCACTTCTATCTTTTATACATATAGGGAAAAAGTCCTGGCTACATTTTCTAAAGAAACAGAAACAACTTTCTGACTACAAAAAAAATAAGAAAGTAGAATTAGAATTCATCTTTTTAGAGATGTTTTCCTACATAACTTATATCAGGCCCACAATAATCTATTTTTTCATTCTATCTTGATAGTATCTTTTGTGAACTAGGTGCAGAGTAATACAACCATTCTAAAGATGACAATGATGTGTATTTATACATATATGTTTGTAAAGGAAAATTTCTAAGCTGATTCTAAGCTGCAGGGCTTGGCTTAAAAAGTAAAAGACTAGGTATTGTTAAAATTCCCCTGCTACCCCCAGAACCTGTAATCCCTGTAGCTGTTAGGACAATACTGGAACTGCCCAGTAAATATTTCCACTGATTCCCTGGTTGTTTAATAGCTAAGGGCTCTGAGTAGCTCGGCACGT